CATTGATTTCACTTTCTTTTGTGTAGATTCAATCAAGGATTCAATTCCAACAACTTTCCTTCTATATATTGATGTACTTTTTCTCTATGATCAGTTATTTAAATTTTATACACCCCTTGAAATTACTTAATAAACATTTGACATTTAACATCTCCCTCAGCCCTTTAATAATGGAACAAAAAGCTTTTTGTATTTACGAAAGTGTTAATTTATTAAAACTGACAGGTTTTCAAACTCAAATATAAGAAACATGAAAAGTTGAAGTAGCATATTAGCATCAATGAAAAACTGACAGGTTTTCAAACTCTGAATATCAGCATTCAATGCTTATTAGGAAAACAAACAATAAGTGAATTAAAGAATCACATATTCCTTACATATTCCGAATGAGGCTCAAGAAGAGACCGTTGTTACAGAGTTATAAACTCAATCTATAAACCTAAAGTCATTCCTCAGTGAGAATACATAATATATAGAAGAATGTTGACCTAGTCAAAAGATGACATCTTTGAGCAAAGACCTAATTGTAAGATGAGAACATCATTGGATCTCCTCCATAAAAAGGTGTCTGATTCCACGGCTGGACAAGTGGGTTTTGTGTCGGAATGTTGTTGTTGCTGCAGCTTCTCAGACCAATACCATCCACACCAAATCCTTGTGCCCCAAGTAAATCCGTACTCATCAGATTGTTATACGGAGCCAACCCTTGACCAAAGCTTGAAGCAGAGTCGGACAGTTGAGTAAAAGTATCCTTGTCATGGTCATACAAAAAGATTGAATACTTGTTCTGATTTTGATTCGACGAATCAATTGCGAAGCCGCCAGAGTTATAAACATCACCACTCATGAGATGATGATTCGTTAATGATTCTGACCCTTGTTGTTGTTGATGAGTAATCAATGGATTATTGATGAGTGAAGAAGGTAATTCGTTCATCGTAAAGTTGTTGCTCTGTTTAGTCATTGATGCAACCTCAAGGCTCTGATCTGGCTCGGTCTGATCCTTGTTGGAAAGAAACCGAAGCTTGTCTTGTAAAACCTGTAAACGAGTTTCCAACGAACGCTCCATCTCCAAGACTTTCAGTGAGAATTTGTTGTCGTTTTTATCGAGAGATGTCTGCTTCTCCTTTTTGATATTCTTAGTAAGAAACTGAGAAAGGTTGGTGCTTTTCTTGCGTCTCTCTACGTCGCTTAGTTTGATAAATCTCTCGGACATGTCTCTGACCTTGGACTGGTCCTCGGGATATGTCTTGATGAGCTCTCCGTTAGGACCGTAATAGATGACGCAGACTTCGATGTCGCATAGGGTTGAAAGCTCGTATGCTTTGTTGAGAAGTGTCTGTTCTCTCATGCACAAATTAGTCGTCTTCGTTTTTGAGGAAGGTTGTTTCTTGAAACGGGTTTGCTTTCTCACAGACAATTTGGGTTTCTTCTTCTCTGTTGCAGAAGACGATGAATCCATTGTTTACAGAAAAAAAAAGTTTCTAGGTTTCAGAGAGAAGAGAACTTTTGAGGAGGAACAAGAGAATTGAGATCAGAGTGAATAATACCAACCTCTAAGCTTGAGGGTTTGCTTATATGTGTTTTGATTTCCTTCTTCGGAGTATATATATGTTCATTTAATGATCAGATTATTTCCATTTTCTCCAATATAGCCGTTGGGATTTTTCATTTTTCAGCTAATGATTGTAGTGGAAAATCTTTTTCTCTCTCTTCATTTAATACGAAATCGAAAGGAATAAGATCCGATTTCCATTTTTTTACTTTTCTACGACTTGTTGTAAAATGCTCTTAATAGTGTAAAATAGTTAAGGTTAAGAGAGTTGTTGTAATTAGGATTTAAGGAAGAAATATGAAAGATAGAGTTCACCTTTTTCTAACATATGCATTGTCAACACAAGAAACGTAATACATGTTATAAATTCTCTTTGGCCACTTATTACGGTCATTGTCAAGGAAATTAATACCTCTGACTCACTTAAAAATTATGCAGAAGGTAAGATCACACAGACTCTAACCAACAACACTCACTTAAAAACTATGCAGAAGGTGAGATCACACAGACTCTAACCAACAACATAGTTAATCCTCTAAAATAAAACATTTGAGTAGCAAAAGAGATATAGGTGCCGAGACTACTTGGATCTCATCCTCCATGCCCTCCCAAGGTCGTGTGAGTAACATACATTGGTATTGACGAGAAATCCGGTATGGGTAAGTCCCCGCTTAGGTATTGCATCACTTGTCCCATGCCAGGCCTAATTCTGGCGCAGCATTTATGCAGAGCAAACCGAATTTCAGAACCAACTCGACTTCCTCGGATAAGAATTCTCCTCCCATTCTTGGATCTTTGGTCTCGAGTAAAGAACCTTGTTTCCAACACTCACGAACCCACTTGACCAGATATTGCTTATCCACCGGCAACTCAGGTACCACAGGTCGCCTTCCACATGTTATTTCAAGAATGAAAGCACTAAATGCATACACAACGGCTTTTGTAGAAGTTCCCGTTGTTATCAGTTCAGGTGCCATGTAACCTATGGTTCCCACAACGGCTGTTGTAGATAAGTTGCCTATGGGTCATAAAACCTGTCCATACCAAAATCTCCTAACCTTCCATTGAACTCAGAATCTAACATGATGTTAGAAGCTTTTATATCCCGGTGCAAAACAGCTGGATTGGGCCTGTATGCATGTAATTTAGAGCCGAGGCAATATCCTTAAGAATATAAATCCTTTGAAACCATGAAGGAGGTGGGTTTTTGATATGTCTGTATATTTGCATTATCTGTGTACATATTTGCATACATTTATCCTCTGTTTAGCTTCATTCTGCATCATTTAGGCACCCTTTAGCCATAGGTTAGTTCACATGTGCATCTTAGAGCCCTAAGATAGAGTTGTACATATTTATCTTTCTTTTACCCTTTTTCAGGTGGTACTTGCATGTGCTTAAATGGAGTTATCCCGCTTACTAGAGCCTAGAGGATTAGAGTGGAGTACAGAGGAGTAGATGAGTAGAGGAACTACAAGGTTCCAGATCAAACAGGGAGCAGTGGAGCAGAAATTAGTCAAGAGTCATCAAAGAACACCGGTGCAAGGCAGTTGGAATAGCAGAAGGATGAAGTCTCAACAAACCTACTGAAGTTCATGACTTGGGTGAGAATCAGGACATTAGTGCATCTTAAATCTATGCACAGATGTCCCAGGTTATCCCCTTGTTATGATGGAGCATTAAGACTCTCCGACTGTTGGACCAGGCGCATCAAACTGGATGAAGAATAAGCTGAAGAAACCAATATCTCTTGATATCATTACAGACCGATGAGGAAGACCGATATACTGCCCCCATCGAGAGGCTCATGTCGCGACTCGAGAGCTGTTGGATGCGCTGGATAGGCAACATAAATCGGTCACTTCCCTGATATGGAGTGACCGATATTTAATGTATTTTGTTGATTTTAATGGGTCGACCGTTGACTCGAGCTGGGCGATTCATTAACGCGTTGGGTCGACCCGGGTACTGTTATGAGGGGCTATATATATGTTCTTAACCCCTGAAAAACCTAAGTCTTGTTGGTTTT